GCTCCTCCAGAGTGCTGCTGCCGAATCCTGAAGACTACCTCCTGCCTCCTGAACTGCACGTGAAGTGCCTGGGAAGTACCTAGGAACTACCTGCCAACTACCTGCAGCCTGCAGGGCGGGCCAGTCTTATATAGTGCTGGCCCGTCCAGGAGCTGCTCTTGCCAATGCCAAAATGTGCCAGACCCTGGGGTTGACGCTCAAACAAAGGTTGTCTTGAAAATAGGCCAAGAATGGCCTGAGCTAAAACCCTGGTCTGGTGCCTACGTCTCAGGGCAGGTCGATCTTATGAGGGCCTGAAAATGGCCCTCAGTTTCAGGCTGAAAAGACTCAGGGCCGGAATGGCCATGATTTATGCTGAAGCGACACAGGGCCTGTAGGCCGTTGTTTTCAGGCTTTCAGGCTGAAAACAACACGGGGCCTGTAGGCCCTTGTTTTCAGGCTTTCAGGCTGGCCCGTGCAGCCTGTTGCAGGCACAGCATGTAACACACTCTCTCTCTCTCCAACTAACTACCAAAGCAACTGCCGCGCGCCCACCAACCACTGCGCGCGCCCTACCACTTCTCGCTCTCTCTCCAACTAACTACTGAAGCAACTGCCGCGCACCCGCAAAATGCCACTTGCCCACCAACTGCCGCACACCCACCAACGACACCGCGCGCCCTACCACCGCACACGCACTAACTACCACGGCAGTTAGCACAAGAAGAAGAAGAAGAAGAAGAAGAAGAAGAAGAAGAAGAAGAAGAAGAAGAAGAAGAAGACGAAGAAGAAGAAGAAGAAGAAGAAGGAAGGAAGAAGAAGGAAGAAAAAGAAGAAAGAAGAAGAAGAAGAAAAAAGAAAAAAGAAGAAGAAGAAGAAACTACTAACTTACCGGTGGCTCTTAGGGATGGTGGCGACGGCGACTAGTGGCTCAACGGGCTGAAGGAGCAACGGTCTGGAGGAGTGACAAGCTGGAGGCGAGGGGAGGGCGCGCAGGCAGTTCCGGGTGTGGAAGGTCAAATGGGAGGTGTAGGGCAGGTACTCCCACCCAAAACGTTTGAAAACGGTGGCCTATCTGCGCCGCCGATCTCTCCAGATCGACGGTCCAGATAGGCCGCCCTTTTAAAATCCTTTGGGCGGGCCTACCAGATCCGGTGCAATTTTGTTTCCGGCCAGGCAACCTCCACGCAGGCCGCTGAGGCCCCCTGGCCTTAAAAAAAATCCAACCTACCCCCCTACTTCGAAGTGCTATGGCCCACCAGGGGGAAGCCGGCTCGGTGGACTGGCCGGTAGGACCGGCCCGGTTCCGGTTGGGGGTGGGGGCCCCGGTCCTACTGGGTTTTCAGCCTTGTTTTAAACCAAGCTTGTCACCAGTCCATAGTTGGCACATGCAGACCTCGACCAAAAATAAAACAGAGGCAAAAAAAAACAGAAGGAAAAGCTCAAAAAACTTAAAAAAGATCTATCCCCAAATGCACTTTTCAGCACTTGGGGGTTTAACCTGGGGCTGAAAAGTGGGGGTCCCTGTTAACCACTTGTGGGAATCAGAGGTCTAGAAGTCGAAGAATGAAATTTCTGCAAGGGAATGCAAAATCGGGACGGCGGGAGTCAAAGTATGGGTGGTCAAAACCAGTAATGGAGCAGTCCTTGGACCGCACCTTTTGGCCACATCAGAATGGATGGCTAGTTCAGGCTTACTGCTTTCTAGTATCAGTCTATCGCGCCTGCACTGGCTATGCGAAGCGGTTTTCCATCAACCGACAACCATTTTTCTTCTGTATCTTTGTTTTTCATTTTTTTGCCTGGTTGTGGCATGTGACATCACCAGCTGGTTGAATCAGCATCTGGCGGCCCAAGAAGTTGAATTGCAACGAAGGGAGCGTATTGTGCATGAACTGCGTGCAGAGAATGAGGAACTGAGGAAAGGGAAGCTGCATGGCCAGGATCGAAGTCCATTGAATAGGAAAACAACACACGTGAGCGCAGATGAGCATGTGCAGTGGAGGGGGGTTTGCTCCCCCAATTCCGTCTTGAATATCGACCGCAGTGATGCACGGCACGACTTTGATGATAAAGAACCACAAGGCAAATATCTAGGTGCCCAGCTCGATAGCAACCAAGGGCCTGTGAAGGGCATCAATGTAAAAGAAAACCTAAGGAATCCGCCATCCCAGACAGCAGCTGGAAATGTCGAACTACCTTCAGCATCGATGATGGCTCATGACCTGCCCCACTTTGACAGCCAGGAGGCAGAAGGAGCACGAACACATCATGAGGTTCTTCCAGGGGTGGAAAAGCCATCAGCTCTATCCAAGCACGATGGTTGGATCCAGGAGATCGCGGGAGAAAGCTCAGACAAGCAATTGCAGAGTGTGAAGGGCTCTCATTCAATGGGTGGCCAGGCTCTGGAAATGGTCAGGGAGGATTCAGCAACAGGGCGAATGCAGGCAGCAGAGGTGGTTTCGGGAACTGGCACTGCTGTGATCAGCACAGGGATGATGCACTCTGATTCCCGGGAGCACTTGCCTCCGCCATTACGATCATCCCGCGATCTCAGTTCCTCATTGAGAGATGTAGGCATGCCAAGTACACGCCCATGGACTTCAAACGCAGTGATGCAGTCTGTGAAAGATCGCAAGTATCCTGCTTCTCCATACTCTCAGGTGGTGCCCAAAACTCCGAACCCACGAAAGAAACGAGGCAAGAAAAACGCTGAATTACCCTCAGGACTAATGCAAAAGTTGCACACCTCTGGCTCAATCCAGCATTCCGAACAGGCACGAATGACAACAGAGGAGTGTAAGAGGGGGCATGTGAGTACTGAGCTTGAGTACACAGGAGGAGTGGCAGGAGTAGGAGGAGTGGCTCTGAACAAGTTGGGTGAGGAGGTGGGAGGCGATGCCACCAGAACCGAGTTGAGGCCCCGAAGCTTTGCCTTGGAGATGATGGAACAAGACTTCGTACTTGACAGTTCGGCTATTGGGAATTGGTCCGGGTCTAGTGCAGAGGCTGGACCTCCCATACCCCAACGGTTATCTGGCACACTATCAGAACGCTACACTGGCATGGTGGACCATATTGAAGGCTGTTTCCCTCACACTATGAGAATTGTCAGTGATTTTTTTGCAAACAGGGTAGTTGAAAGCGATAGGCCAGTGCAGGGTGAGATGGACGGCAGTGATGCTGCACAAGATTTGCGCACAACAGGGGTAGTCACTTCCGCTGATGCGGCAACTGAAAGTGTGGACGGCACTAAAACAAACGGAGGAGGAGTGGAGGTTGTGGTTATCAGAGGTGGACTGCTGCATGATGACACGGTTCTTCATAGTGATGTTTTGGGTACCAGCACCGTGGAAGGAAGCAAGGGCAATGCAGCAGATGCCAAGATGGCAGAGGTAACGGTTGATAATATGGCAAGGAGGACTATGGAGGACAGTGGCCTAAACCAGCGTAGTCATGATTCGGAAACCATTCCTGATATTCCGAAGTCACAAAAGGAACTTGAGGAGGGGGGTAAGGGTGACCATGGAGGTAGAGGACTGTACAATGAAGACAGTACCGCAGTGGCAAGATACCAAGTTCACAGTGCCTACAGCAAGAAGAATGAGAGGGCTTCGGTATGTGTTGCTACATTGCCAGTGTACAACAGTCCTGTCTCCAAGCCTCTTCAGCTCATTCTCCCCCTCCCATCCCTCCTTGTGTTTGAGCTTCTCTGTGTCCCTAGTTGGCTAACAGTTTCTTTTGTCGTTTCTGCCTACAAAACAAATTTTCTTGCAATCCTCAAATCGTCATGCAAAATGAAATATGAGTCTTGGACCCCTCACAAATACCCCAGAGACGGCGCCAAGCCGCATTATTACCCAAGAACCATCTTCGTTGTTACAATGTGCTGCCCCAAGACCCCCGCCAGAAGAAAAAAGATCATCGGCTTTTGAGTAACAGCAATGGTTTGTGCAGAACCTCTTAAATTTTAGGAGACCAGCAAGTGCCATGCCTGGCTGCAGGGTTCCTTGGGTACAGGTGCCTTAAGCCCTTCAGGCTGAAAAGGGCCTGTGCCTGATTCTGATATCTTGAAAGTTCACACCCACCAACCTACCTACCTACCACCTGCTGTGGGGTACTGCCTGCTTCACGACCCTTGGGCTCTGACTTGGCAGTGACCCTAATGGCCTGTTACATTGCTTGGTCAAGCCCTACATGACTCTGCAGTATAGAAATGGCAGTGTTGGTATTTTCAGGCAAGCCCGGCCAGACACCTAAAACGGGTTACTGACTGCCCGTGATCTGGTGAAGATGGTGATGAGGCAAGTGACGACGAGATGACACGGAAGGTTGGGAAGGTCCGGCAGAGGGAGGGTTAATGACAAAAAAGAGCTACATGAGGTGTGAGGTAGAAAAAACGTTGCACCACGGATGAGAGAGCAGAGAGGGCTGCTAGGACACCTTCAAGGAAGGCTGTGGCAATTCGGACCTGGATCAACACCAATAGCAGGAGATTCAACACAGTAGCTACATTGGCAGCTCTGTTGTGTTATTTGGTAGAACATCAAAGTTGCATAAAGTTCACGGAATAACGGGCAAGGAGTTCCATCCCAGAAGTAGCTAGCTGGACCACAGTTCGTTCTTCTCACAACACCATGAACGAGCAGGGTTTGGCTTTGCCAGAGCAGTCTGAGCAGGTGATTAAAGACAGATATCCATGATGGACCTGGTGACCAAGTATAGACAGGGAGAGAGGAGAGGGCAACGGCGGATGGAGAGGGGGAGAGGAGGAGGAGGAGGAGGAGACCGCTTTGGAAAATGATGAGGAGGGCGATGGTGAGTGGGGAGTGGAAGAGGAGTAGGGGGCCGTTTTGCCCGTACACTTCCTGCTCTCGTTGACGTTTAGGGAGATGCGGTCATGTCCCTACACTATTAAAATTGTTAGCGTCACAAATCTGAAATCTGGGCCATTGCGGTCCTACCGGTCCACGGCCCGGATAGTCGGGAGATTGTAACAAAACTGAAATCTGGGTAGTCGCGATCCTACCGGCCCACGGCCCTGATCGTCGAGAGATGTAACCGAGCTGCCATCTCGGTTGTCGGGTCCTACCGGACCGGCAGCCTGGATCAACACGGACTTAAGATCGTAAGCCCGTGTCCAAATCCAGGTCGTCAGTACGGTAGGGCCCAACAGCCCAGATGACAGCGGGCGTTTTTAAGTCTCAACGGGTTGTCCGAGCGCGGCGTGGCAGAGTTTCCCACCGTTCCTGCTGTTGTTCGGTGCCGTTGCTTCCACTTGGTCTATTTCGAAAGCGGCGCCCGTGTCATTTAGTGTTGTGGGTGAAGCACCCGTTGGTCTTTTTAGAAGCTCGAAGCGCCCGTGGTTGTTCGCTGTCCTCAAGCGCTGGGTGTCGTTCCCTGAAGAGCCCGTCGTAACATAACACGCTTTCGCGAATCTCTCTCTCTCTCTCTCTCTCTCTCTCTCTCTCTCTCTCTCTCTCTCTCTCT